CCCACCTTCAGATCATCATGTTGGAGCTGAAAAGAAACACTGTGCTTGAATGTGTGTGTGTGTGTATATATCTGCGTGTGTGTATGTGGTGTGTGTGTGTGTGTGTGTATGTGGTGTGTGTGCATGTGTGTGTGTGTCCGTGTGTGTGTGTGTGTGTGTGTGTCAGGTGGCTGAGATCTGCGTTGGTGACCACATAGCCGAAGTCAACGGCCGTGAATTGTTCGGAGTGCGTCACATCGAGGTGGCCAAGCTGCTCAAGGACATGCCAGTCGGTGAAGATTTCACGCTCAAGCTCTACTCGCCGATGAAGACCCCGTTCAGTAAGTGATAACCTGTGTGCATGGCCACGGCAGCGCATAGTCACTGCTCAAGTTTACCGTCAGGGCATAATGATGGTGATGATGATGCGTACGTGGGTGCGTGTGTGTGTGTGTGTGCGTGCGTGTCTGTGTGTGATTGCTCCTGCAGATGGCATTGCACCTCGTAATACCAAGAACACGCTGTCAACGTCGAACACCGAGCTGGGAACCGGCAAACAGACGCTGCGACTCAAAGCAACCGGTCAAGCCACTGTGCAGACCGTCGATGTAAGACGCACAATATTGTGTATGTGTGTGTGTGTGTGCATGCGGACAACACGCTTTCTGGTCTGCCCCTTACGGGGCCACATAGCCTGTAATGGCAGTGGAAGCAGGAAGGAAGGTGTGCGTGTGTGTGTGTCTGTGTGTCTGTGTCTTCGCGGTGAGGAATATGTGATGGTTATGGCAGGTTTCTGAACATGCAGCTGTAAGGGGCGCTCATCCTTGACCTTTCCTAAGGCCTACAGTAAAGTGAGAAACATTCGCTAGAGATTAAATTTCGCTAATTTTCGCGACCATCACACATTCGCGAATATAAATCGCCGTAAACCTCTCCATACACTGATTGTAGACCGTACAAGATCCGATTGAAAATATAGAATCGCAAGCGTTTCTTATCGTGAACCAGCCCGATTTATGAAAACGCTAAATTTGCACGCCGCGAACGTTTGTCGCTTTACAGTACTACAGAAGAGTTTACGTTTCTCAGTTATCGCCACAGTACCACTCACTACGAACAGTGAAATGGATCACAGTACAACTTTGGGACAAGAATGCAAGCAAGATTTCATAAGCACCTCGCCATATTGTGCGCAAAAATTTGAATCTTACCATTTCGTGCTCCCGTATAGGAGTAAACAAAGCCTTAGATTGCTGAAACAGTACCCCCAATTTTTTTTCCAATACCAATTTTGAGGAGGCTTCTATTCAAGAGGTGCTTTTATTCGAGAGGGGCTTCTATTGTTTCATTCCATACCAGTATTCCAATCGAATCTCTAAAACTTCAGGGCTGGTATTTGGGATCACAAAACGGCAAACACGTCAGAGGCCATCTTGAATCACTCTACGTCATCAGATACCCGCACGTGATGCGGGGCCGCGAGATCGCGACTGTGCAAAAGTGTACTTGCCAGTGCAGTCTTTGACCTAGCTGCAAGAGCAAGTGCTAGTTTTTTTATTTTTTGGTGGTGCTTGAACTAGTTCGAACTGCTTCCCTTCGACTTTCTTTGACAGAGCGGGTGCTGTTAGGGTTTCCTGTTGTCAGTTTGTATCCACCACTGGTCTTGTATGTCAGTGCTTGTACAAGGAGGTGTTCAGTAGTTATTTTCAGTCCGCGCCATGGGTCGCATCCAGGGTAGGAAAAAGTCGCACTCTGACCGGCTTGATTATCCTGAGTCGAGAAAGAAGCGAACTAGTGGCCAGTTCGGCTCAGTATCATGGCCAGCTGGACGTAGATCAGATCGCCCAGAGGTCGAACAAACCGGCAGTAGTCCTGAAATCCTTACCTCGCAGAACATTGACGATGTGGAGCGCGGTGTTCAAGAACAAGGAACCATGGTAATAATTGGATTCGCTCCAGAAAATTATACTCGTGGTTCCCGGTTCCTTTCCCATGACTCTAATATTTCCTATGGTCTGGATACGTGCATCACGCTGAAGCCTAGATGAATCAGATTGTAAGTCAGTCTTCTCTCTAGCTCAAGATTTTGCGAACATGTTATCAGTGAACAATAAAAGCAAAGGACACAGCTGCACAGTGCAACAAATGGAAAATGCACGTCTCCTTCTTTTCCTTGCCGTGCGCACTGCATGTCACAGTCTGCAGTTCTGACTGGAAGGTGTCTTCCGTTTGTGAAAGAACCAGCGCAAATCGCGCGTGGCGCGGCGTCCTTCAAAACGACGCAAGTGAGCTCCACATAAGCCGATTTTGACAATCGATGGCTCAAAATTTTCAGTAGGTGATGCTCCATATTTTGACCGAAGCGAATTTCGCCAAAACGATCCTAGAGGTGGGACACGTTTACCGAGTTTGAGGGTGTTATTTGAGGTCTAAATTGCGAAAATCAAAAAATCCTTTGGTGAATCCCTTTGCCCACATCTAAACTCGGTGCCTGCAAAATCTCAGCCTGCTAGAGAGAACTGTGGCTCACTTGCGTGGATTTGAACAGGCCAGAGTCGACGCGAAGTACGGCAAGATTCCCTGTACACAGCATGGTGTGACACATGTCACGTGAACCAAAATGGCGCCCACGTGTTTCTGTACAAGTACTAGCCCTGAACTTTCATATTCACAGCAACTCGCCCCGAGTTAGTTTGCACACACTGCGTCGACCAGGACATGTACCAATATGAGCATGCAGGGGGTGTTTTTTGCGCACTTGACCTTCATACATGGCACTACCTGGTCACCCCATGCTTTGCGAATAGTAGTCCGCGCTTCTATTCGAGAGGGTCTTGCATTTTGTCAAACAGTCCGTGTTGGGGTATTATCGAACCATTGCGCAATGACGTTATTTGTACCATAAACATCCTTCACAGCCACCTGAGGGGGGGGGGTCGTCTGGGGTGTTGAACGGTGCACTCCTGATCCCAGCATGCATACTCACAAGCATTACTCGTGCATTCCATATTTGGCTGTGAAGGGTGTTTTTACGTCATTGCGCAATGGGTCCATTCAAGAGCGGCTTCTAATCAAGTGAGCACGGTGTACAGTATACCGCTGCTACTCCCAGGGGATCGACAGCATCAACGTTGTTTGCTGAGTACATGTAGATCAGCTCCATCACCCGTGTGGTCAAAGACCTGAATGTCTCCCCATCGTAAGGGGTCAGCTCGAGACTTGATGATTGCGGTCGTGAACGCCGCCAGACTTCTGATAGTAAAAGCTTGCTGGATGGTGTGTGTGTGTGTGTGTGTGCGTGTGTGTGTGTGCGTGTGTGTGTGCGCGCACGTGTGTGTGTGTGTGTGTATGCGTGCCTGCATCTGTACAGGAAACGAGTTGGACAGTGAAGGCTGCGGAGGCAGTGGATGACTGCCTTGAGAGTTTCATGGGCATTCGCGACAATGAGCTCGGTATGTGTGTTAAAGTGCTCGCGGTGCGGGCGGGGCACTGTGTTGCTGATCGTTTTGGTTGACCGCATTACATTCCCTTTATCCGATGCAGAGCAGGAGAACTGTTTTTCTTCTCTTGGGAATCTGCCATTACATGTGCTAGTATGTGAATGCAGGGGCGTCGCACACGGTGCGGTCACTACGGTATTGACTGTACCACTTTTTGCCCCAGGTACCCCGTGAATCAACAAAAATACACTGATTTGGGATCTAAAATTCCAAAATTTTCGGCTCCCCCACGAGTAATTTGTACTTCAGATGGCTGACCGTAGCACACTAAAATACCTTCCGACGCCCCTGGAATGCCTGCTCAGTTTAGGATGACTGGGCTGTTCTTCACTGTAACATTACAGCGTCCTATGCTCTTGACTCAGACACGTGCTCAGAGGGCTGTCTGGAACATATAGAAGGAAGGCATACTAAATTGCGGGGGGAGACCAACAGAGACAGAGAGACTCAAAAATAGAAAGAGACAGACAGACAGACAGACAGAGAGAGAGAGAGAGAGAGAGAGAGAGAGAGAGAGAGAGAGAGAGAGAGAGAGAGAGAGAGAGAGAGAGAGAGAGAGAGAGAGAGAGAGAGTGGAAAGAGATGGAAAGAGATGGAAAGAGATGGAGAGAGAGAGAGAGAGAGAGAGAGAGAGAGAGAGAGAGAGAGAGAGAGAGAGAGAAAGAGAGAGAGAGAGAGAGAGAGAGAGAGAGAGAGAGAGAGAGAGAGAGAGAGAGAGAGAGAGAGAGCAGCAGCAGCAGCAGCAGCAGCAGCAACACTACCATGGTGTGTTAAGTTAGCTTAGACCATGACACGTGCACTCATCAATCAATGCTCTTCTCCACTCCAACTTTGATCAAACGATGCGCTGTGTGGCCTTTTGCATGAGTTTTGTACGTCTGCTTTTCATCTTTGCTTACCGTTCTGTTCTCTCTGCATTCTTTCTGTCTCCAGCCGAAACTGCAGTCGATGCTGCCAAGGCATCCAGTGGTCTGGAAGAGTTCCGCTCCAAGATCGACGAAGACCTGGAAGTGTTTGGGTTCCCGGAGTCGTTCGTCGAGGAAATGTGGTCGAGTATTCAGAAAATCAAGGAGGAGGCCACCAAGTGAGCCCAGTTCTGCCCCGGCTGTTATTCATGGCATCTCCTGGCTCTGGCTCTGCTGCGCTGGCACGGGCAGGTCTGCCGGTGGCTCTGAGCGGCATGCGCTGCGCTCAGAGCGCGTGCTTTTAGTCGCTCTGTGTGAGTGTGTGTGTGTGTGCGTGTTGCCCTGTGCGTCTGCATGTGTGCTGGAGATAGCTTAGTGTCCTCGTATCATACTTGTCTGGTAACTACTGGTAACTTCCGGATTGCTAGCTCGCGGGGGTGTATTGCGACTGCGAGCACAGCTGTTGTCCTGACCATCTGCAAGCTGAGCTGGCGTCGCCGATTTTGGCGTCCCGCTTTCTGGTGGCACATCTCGAGTGAGCGCTTGGCCAGCTGTTTACTCTCGCTATCGTCTGCAGACGGCGTGGCTGGCTAGTCATCTCTCTCTCTCTCTCTCTCTCTCTCTCTCTCTCTCTCTCTCTCTCTCTCTCTCTCTCTCTCTCTCTCTCTCTCCTCGCTGTCTCTCTCTCTCTCTCTCTCTCTCTCTCTCTCTCTCTCTCTCTCTCTCTCTCTCTCTCTCTTTGCATGCCGTGTGTATTAGCAATAGTGCCCATGTAGTCAGCTACCAACCCTTGGTCGCTAGCCGCACTCACACCTTCTGCTGCTTGAGCTCGATTGTTTGTTGAGGCCGCCCCGCACACCAATCTCTGCTTCTGTTTTTAAGTTAAATCTCCATAAACTGACTCCTCAAAGGGGCTGACGGGCAGATAGATCATCACTAACTTTATTTATGCCAGTATTAGAATTATAATGTCAGACCGTTTTCTTCAAGGGCTTCGTTGAGAATTTAGTTTCCGTCTCATCTGCTTCTGCTCACTTTTTAAAACCTTTCTTGGCGTAGACGTGTGAGGTGTTTCTTCTGCTAGGCTTCTTGGCTGGCTGTATTCTTCTCCTTTCCTGTTCTCATATTCATCCACTGCCACTGAGTATTGTGATTATATCCCTGCAAGTTGTGTGTGTATGCACGCTTTCCGTTTGATGCGGCAAGCCATTCCCGTATTGTGCCGTGCACGTTTGTGTGTGTGTGGGGGGGGGGGGGGGTGGTCCCAAGAAGCGCTGGCGGGATGTTGTGCCCTCGGACTTTACTGTCATCGATTTACCTGAAGCGGACTGGTATGGCACAGCGGAGGAGAGATCCACCTGGTGGTAGTGTTGTCGACAGAGGGTCGAGAAGGAAGCCTCAGACATCCCGTGCCCCAACTAACGCTGAGTGTGTGTGTATGGGGGGGGGGGGGGGGCATTACTGGTGTATATTATTATTATTGTTATTTAAATTTTGAATAGGGCAATCCCCACAGGCACACATGCATGTACATGTATATGTATATGTGCAGGTGTGCATGAGTATTTCGCCCCTGTACTGTGCGTGCATCCTGACTGAATCTGAATCTAAGTTGAGACAGGTAACTAGGCTCCGGCAGATTATGCTCGCGAAATCATGGAATTGTGCTTTCATGGTTTCTCGCATTATGCTCGCAAAATCCTCATACTATGCTTTGGCACTCGGGGATACATACATGCATTCACTTTGTTGCCGGAACCTCAAAGCTCGGAAGATTCAAATTGTGCCTTTTTCGTTCTTGCAAGTGGCCATATTAAAGTGCAACAAAAAACATGAGTGTATCCCCATACCAAGGTGTCCATGCATGCTAGAGATAACAATGGAAAAGAGAAAACATTACTTCTTCTATTCATTAGTTGACTTCCTTTGTAAAAAGATAGTTCCATTGCCAAATTAGTTTGAGTTACCTTTGAAAATAATATTATCATGTTCAGCTGTCTTGGCAGTCATCATACTCGTCCAACCGTTGTCAACCTGCTGAGAACCACAATCATGTGTATTCAACGCGGCATTAATAGTCTGGGTGCAAGGTGATCATGGGGTCCAAGTTGATGCTAATCAGGGAGTCGTAAAATACCTTTACGACTCCCTGATGCTAATCATAAAATGTGTACGTATGAAAATGAATTCAAATGATCATACATGTACGGCATCATTGTATTGTCATTCCTTTCAAATAAGTGTGTGGTATCGCAAGGGATTCACACTGAACATATTACGAGTATCCCTCTATCAAAGTATCATTATCAGAGCACTTTACTAACTTCAGACCGAGCAACAGCGGATAAGTGACGTCTGCCGTCAGCGACGACTGCTCAAAGAAGTTTGGCTTGGACACGTTATCAGATGGTGTGTGTGTGTGTGTGTGGGGGGGGGGGGGGGTAGACTGAGAGGCATCGTCGTACCAAACCATGGAAATGGCCTTCAACGCTGAAGATATTTTAAAAAAAAATGAGCCACACGGGCGTCCACCAACCAGATGGACCGACATTATAAAAATAAGACCTGAAGAAAATCCAAAGTACATGTTCCTGACTCCTTTGTCATAGCCAAATTTTGTACATTTCCATGAAGATGAATGGAACCTTTTTCAATATCTCTATTAGGATGACCCAGAGGCTTGTCGCCTATCAAGGGGTTCACCGCTTTGAAGGGTGTTTTAACTGGAGGATGTGCAGAGCTCATCATAATATGCGAGCTGTTCTCAGTTCTTCTTCTTCTTCTTATTCTTATTATTATTATTATTCTTGGTCTGCTTCAATCGGTGCTCGAAGCATGCTGATCAAAGTGCTGTCGACGGGACCGCGCCCCGCGAATGAAACGCCGCCGAATACTACTACAGTCAACTTGGCTAATAACAACTGCGGATATAACGACAATTCGCGCATAACGACAGAATTACCATGCCCAGAGCAAAGTCCCATCCCACTGTAATACATATAATGAGACTTCGGGTATAGCGACACTTCGTGAATAAGGACACTTTTCTGATGCCCCGCCGCCGAGTGTTGTTATAAGCGAAGTATAGTTGACTGTACTACACTGTACTACTGTAGTAGTAGTATCCAGCCTTGCACAGCCAGTCATACTGCCGGTTCCTGCTCGTGATGGTGGTCGCTCCGTCATCCACCGGTCACTAGGTCACAGAATGATCACTAGAAACGTCTTGTCAGAGCAGGTTTGAGCTACAGCAAAAATTAATAATCATGCTATGCCTCCTGTCTCGCTTCGATGCTGCATCGCCAGACCACCACCGCACACGTATTAGCTGCATACAGACAATGCGCTCTTTGCCAGACTTTGGTGTTACATGTAGATCTACGTGTAGATCTACTGAGTACTGAGCAGGCGCGTAGATCCACGCAGGGTCACCTCCAGGGGGGTTTCCAACTGAATCCTAAACAATGTAATGAGTTTTAACCCTTTGTAAAGAGCCCTAGGAAATTTTGAAAATTATACATTTTTTCGTGTTCTTTTGATCATAACTATTACTTCGGTTCTACTCTCTCAATCTTCATTATCTTGGGCTTCCTGGAAGTGGAAAGGTACCTGGGAGAGAATGAGGTCGACCATGATAGCCAGGACACAGTACAGTCATGTACATATCCAGCGATAGCGGTGGAGTGCAGCGACGATGCGAAAAATGCCCCAAAGGCCCAAACGCGTCCTGCTCCAACGATTTCGTTTTTCTTGATCGCAGACTTTTGATTTTTTGCTGTGTACTCTTGAAAATATCACAAGTGCAGTGAAGCCCCTGGAAATTTGAGTAAGTCAGGGTGACGAAAAGTCTCAAATTCTCGATACTCAAGTCGCTCTGCGCGATTTTGAAATTGCCGAGATCGCGGCTCAACTTACAAATGATTTATCTCAAGAGACATAGCTCGCAGCGCGTCGCAAAATGTTTCAACCGACAGCTGAGAGTTTTCTATTCGACCTGGATATTTGGATCGTTGGATAAGAACGAGATTTGACTGAGTTACGATCTGTTGAAGTTTCGCATTCTTGCCAGATCGATCGTGCGCCTTACCAAAAAAGCCCAAAAAACGTTGCTCGTTTGGAACATTTGGGGGGGGGGGGGGTTTCCGGGCAACGGGAAACCCCCCTGCGTAGACCCGGGTGCTCGAATGAGACACAGGGTACCAAAACAGAAACACCCTGAAATTGTACCTAAACTTGTTCCGATTTCGTTTAATTTTCACAAATACCATCAACATACGGCCCGCTAACGGTATGCCAAATTTCAGCGCTGCCCGGTAAACGCTTTTTGAAATACTCGCGACCCACTTTTGCTGGGTCCTTGATTCGAGGATATGGGTCTCCTGTACGGTGCTGCCAAAGACCTGCTGAATCTGCGGCTCCACTGACCATCTTGCTCTCAAAAATGAAGTAGTAAGTTACTACTCCCTGCCCTCAACTGCCACACCAAGCGTAGACGATGGTAGACCCGTGTGCTTGAATCGGAGACGATCTGACGAGTTCGCTGTTTCTGATTCGAGCACCCAATTTTCAAATAAAAAATCCGAAGGAAATACAACAATTTTACGGCGTACTGTAGCTTGTGTTGTAGCGCACCCAGGTTCTGAATTCCTGCTGGGTGGGTCAAGCCAGACTCTCTTCCCTGTTCCATCGCCTCTCCAAAAGTATATTCTGACAATATTGAGATTTACAGATGAGAAATTTCACACCTGTCAAATCGTTTCTGATTCGAGCACCCGGGTCTACGCGCCTGCTGAGCCTTTGTCTGTGATCACAGTCAGTGATCGCCAGACCACATACACAGCTACACTGCCTACAGTACAGACTCAGTGTCGACAGTGTGATGTAGCGCCTCTGTACGGGCAACACAGAAAGCTATGCGCGCGCGCATGCTCAGCCTGAGGTGGACCGTTACGCGTTCGAGGCGACGCTCGAGCCGAGAGCACGCGGCCAACTGAAAACCGGTGCTCCGACACCGACTCCGACATGGAGTCTGCCGACTGTGTCGACTGAGTCGGACGGCCTGTTCACACACGGGGAACGACTCACTCGCAATAGAGTCGCATCGATTATCCATAAAAGCAAGAGTTCATGGATATGGGGGTTATGAAATTTTGGTAGGACTTTACATTTCATCAAGAGTACAAAAGTACAAAAGTACAAGAGGTCATGAGCTCGACATCGACGCTCTTTGCTGTCATGGTGAAAAGCCTACCGTGATTGGTCCGAATCCCGCTCCATCACGTGCAAGCAGTAAAAATCGGCCGGCTTTTCGCCTAAATATCGACCAGTCGATACTTGGCCGAAAACTAGTGCGACAAGAAAATCGCCGCAGATTTGTCGGAACCCTGTACGACAACACAGTTCACACTACGCAATTTTCGCCCCGATCTTGAGGATTTTTCGTACGAGTCCATGTCGGCCGGAAAATCGGCCTAGTGTGAACCAGGCATAACAGAGGCGGTGCTTTTTCTGTTAGCGTCCGTGTGCTAACATTTCGCTAGATGGATGGGCTTTGATAGTTTGTTAGAATACTTTACGGAGAACTGCTTGTTGATCAAGCTAGGGCCTGAGTAGGGGTACTCATTCAACCCGAACCTAACCCTGGCCCACAAACTGTTGAAGTTTGTTGGGCTAGGGGTTCTCTCGGACTCAGTAACAACAGACGTTTCTAGATTTGTCGTTTTGTCGGTCATTTCTTCATCGCGCCCCTGAATGGCTGAAAAGACAGAATGTCAATGCGAGAACGCAGCCGGTGTGGATTCATCATCACTCGCCGCCCAGTACCAGCAAGCGGATGCTGTCGCTTCGGAGGACTGTCGAGCAACTCAAGCGGAGACGGCGACCTGCACGCCAATGATCGGAATGCATCCTGGATCATCGCCTGCAGAAGCACGTCAACTCCCAGGTGCGGTGCGACAGTTTAAGGAGAGTCTACGGCGTCGCTACCGCTCTGCCAAGGTATGGTTGGGGAAGGGTATGAGCACTAAGGCGCACAAACGAGCGCTGAATGAAATCTTTGTCAATGTCGTGGTCATACCGCGTGAAGAATTGGCTTCACTGAACGAACAAACTTTCTTCGGTTCGCAAAGCGATGTGCAGAAGTTGAGCCATGTGTTCTCGCGAGTCGCAGATAAAGTGCAGCACGTGCAACTGGCCAATATCTTTGACTTTGACGGGGAAGAACTTGATGAAGACGAATCAGTTCGTGTATTGGCTGTTGCATGTGCTGGCGCTGGCAAGACGACCATATTCTTGTTGAAAGGTCCTATGGACTGGACAAGAGGTCTGATCTGGCATGAGTTTGACATTGTGAGTGCATTGGCGCTGCGTGATGCAAGTGTTCGAAATGCCAGAAATGTTGTTGAGCTGTTACAACTAGAGAGATACGGTATTGTCAATACGGTAGAGCAAGGTGAAATTGCTTCGTTTGTACACGCTAACCCACAGCGCGTTTGCATCACATTTGATGGCTTAGATGAAACACTGCTCGAGAACTGTAGCGATTTTGTGCGCGGAATTATTCGCGGCGAGGAGCTGAAAGGCGTTCGCTTGATTCTAACGTCGCGCCACTCGGTAGAAGTCATGAAACTGTCGGCCACGTGCCAGTTTGATCGCCGTGTAGAGGTGCTTGGATTTACGAGGGACAATGTGCGCGAGTACGTGAACAATGTACTACCGTGTGAGCAGGCAAGCACATTGTTAGGGCAGGTCGATGCAGATCCGAGTTTGGCGGCTATTATGCAAACACCTTTCTTCACGGAGTCTACGTGTGACGTTTTCCGTACTTGTGGCTCAGTTCCTTCGTCACTGTTCGGCATTTTCACTTCTTTGATCCTGAGCATGGTTCGACAGAACACTGAGAGTGCGTATCTAGACTGGTCGTCCGTTCCGCGTATCTTGAAGGAGAGAATCCTGGAGTTGGGTCATTTTGCATTTCTGATGCTAGTAGGTAAGAAGGTGGTGTTTAGCGACCGTGACCTTGATGAACAGCAGGTGTCGAAGGAAAGTCGCTCACTTGGTCTTCTTGTGGCGTGCGAGTCACTGTCGTATGCATGCGTTGGCCAATGGCAGTTCAGCCATCTTTCGGTTCAAGAATGCCTTGCTTCCCAGTACATTGCATCCACTGCTCCCAATGCGAGCGAAGTTGAATTCCTCGTGAGGCAGGTGGGAGCTTTGACTGGTCACTTGAGCACCTTTTGGTGTCTGCTTGCATCACAACTGGCACCTGACGCCAAAGAAGCCTTGATTTCAGCCATTCTTACTCAGCCTGTTCCTCGCGAAAGTGATGTTCGAAAGCTTGCGGCATGTAGAGATGTGACGCATTTCCTTCGCTCTTCTGAAAACGATCTTCTGCTGGTGTCAGAGGTTCTATGCGAACATCTTGACGATTCGGCCGTCCAGAATCTAGCTGCTTGCCTTCTCACTGATCTACTAGCGGACGGTGTGAGTGTTTCTCAGGCCATCGAAGAAGTTCTTCCTCACTCTTTCACTTCGTCATTGCTGGACTACGTTCGCGCTCTTCTGCAGCTGTGGCGTCGCAAATTACCACGCGCTAGCATGAGAATGCTGTGTGCTGCCTTGAAGTCTATCAATTCCTGTGCATCCGATCGTGTTTTTGAGTTTTTCCAGGCTAAACAAAGAGCAAGCCTTGATTCCACCCACACACCTGCATCGCCTTCCTCCTCACAGGGGGCATATTCATTCATGACAGGTACTCCTAAGGTCCTCTCAGTGGAAATGTTCGAAGAATTTTGTACTCCAGTCCGTCGTCAACTACTTCTGCTTGCTTGCTGTGTGTTTGGTCAGCGTGGATCGGACACGGACAACACGCCCAACAATAAACCATTACCGCCGTCACCTAGTCTGGCGTTGGCATTCTCTCATACTGGGCTTGATTTCCGTAACGTTATTCTATCCTCGGCTGATTGCCATCTTCTCTCATTAGTGATTGACGCTCATCAGAAATCCATCTGCTCTGTTACGATACGCAATTGCCGGATAGATGATAATGGTTTCGAGGAACTTGGTGCAAGTCTTTCCAAATATTCTGGTTTGGAAAAAGTCAACCTTTCAGACAATTCGTTATCAGATCGCCACGTGTCACTTATCAGCAAGATGATCGTCGCCAACCAATCAACTTTGCTGGCACTAAATATTGGGGGCCTACAGATCTCCTCCTCTGGATATGCACAGTTGGTACCAGCCTTGATCCGTTGTCACAACCTTTGGCAACTTACAATAGGTAGTTTACATGCCCAAGATATCAAAACCAACACTCTTGTAGCCCTTGTGATCCTGGCGTACTGCAAACGGCTTCATTTGCCATGTTTTGATTTCGTGATCAGTGATGAGGGGTTGGCTATACTCTTTCCGCTACTGATTTCACGGCCATATTCAGGACTAGGCTTGTCGGGTGCAGGATTGTCGCCACAAAGTGCAATTCTGGTAGAGCATTTCCTAACTGTACATCAGCGTTGGGTTTCCCAGTTTGAGGTCGACCACAATTGTCTTACGGACACGTTCCTGTGCCGTGTTGCTCCGAGTCTCATGCTGTGTACATCACTGGACGTGTTGACCTTGGTTGACATAGGTCTTACATCAGAGTCACTTTCTAGTCTCGCTGGTATCCTCGCGTCATGCCCTTGCCTTCGCTTTCTTCTTCTCGCGAGAAATGATTTTCAAGTTGAGAACGAGACGGGAAGTGCCGAGTTTGCCAGGGCTGTGGGTGGCACAAAGAAGTTGGTGGTGCTTCACATGCCTCTAAAGAAGTTCGCGAACGATCGTTTGGTGGAACTTCTAGCTAGTTTAGCTGCAGGTAAACCCCAACTGGTCATTGACTACTCATAAGGTTTCATGTCGGGTCGTCACTAGTATGTGTGGAGATACCCACTGAGCATTGGCACTGTGTACATTTGTATATTTGTATATGCTAAAGCAGATACTCATGTAAACTGATCACTTGACATTGTATGCATACAGTGTAGTTACTAGTGTAATGTTTTGTATATCTATTTCTTGAAGTTATGCCAATGATGATGTCATGCTGATGAGTCAGCATATTTTCTCATTTCCATTGAGTATTGAGTGGTAGACCGGTACCAGTGCAGCGCTGTATAGCGAGCGGCATGGTCATTCCATGCACAGATTTTTGGTGACGATGTATTTACGCAGCCATTAAACAATAGGATTGATTGCGGTCGTGTATGCGCAACGCTGTGTTTAAGTGTGGCCGTGCAACATACGCAGCCTATAATATAGGTCCGGTATCAGACACGATTGATTTGCACGTGCGTTTAAAGTGCATCATCTATTCCCACTTTCCTGGATCATTTGGTCCACAATTACACATATTTCCAGGCATAAACCTGTTCTTTCTTGTTGGTGTCTTGCTGATGTGGGAATTCCCCAGTGTATGCATGTTTCTTTCAGCTCGTTTTTCGTTATCTTTTGACGTTTTCTGTCACAGACGCTGTGCATATAGCACTGTGTGTTCAGTTTTCAGTATACTGGCTGGTGATTGCCCTAGTATCATCAAGAACCTTAGACGGTGATAACAGAGCTGGTTGCCTAACTAGATCCTAACCGTGTACTGTAGATTGTAGATTGTGTTTGGAGTGTTTTTAACATGTGGTCTCAGCTGCTTGATTAATCTACTCAGCATATTTGCTCTAGATGCTCGGTGATAATTTTACAGTGCTCTTTCACTGTCTTGCTGACTGACATTCTTGTCTGAGTATATGATTTCTTGTGTTTCTGCTGCTGGAGTGCTACTCAATGAAATCCAGTAGCATGAGTTGTTAAACTTGACTCGGTACGCGCCGCAGGGTGGGCGGGGGTCTGTCCTGCTTCTGACCTGCGTACACTGAGCTTGTACGGGCGCTGACCAGACTCGATCGGATTTCATTGAGCAGCACTATGTGTATCGGTGTGTCCGCATGCATAAACTCACCGTGTGTGTGGGTGTGGGGGGGGGGGGGGGGGCAGGGAGTACACGCGATGAGTCATTGTCTGATATGGATGGTGTCATCATGACAGCATTCTACCGAATAAGGAAACCATGGTACGGGTGTGTGTGTGGTGGTGGGAGGGGGGGGGGGGGATATACCCGCCGAGGAGTCTCTAACCGTGTGTTTGTGTGTTGGGGGGGGGGGGGCTGGATGAGAGCTTGATATGGATGATGTCATAATGATATCATCGTACAGAGCAAAGAGCCCAGGGGTCTGAGCGTGCTAGAGGGGGGGGGGGGGAGAGTCAGGGACATACCCGCAGAGTAGCCTCTGCCCGACAGGGATGATGTCATCATTATGTCGTATAATGTATAACATTGCGTGCTTTCCCATTGGAATAACTGGTGTTTTAGCGTTGGTTGCATGCTATGACGAGTATGAGTTATCGTATTGTACCGTCGTGGACATGGAAATCCGGTCAATTGACGCGGGGTTGGCGCCCTCAGTGCATACAGAACGCTGCGTTGGAGTGCACGTGTTGATCATATGGGTACTCACGGCAGCATGGCCAGCGCCCTGGGCCGCTCGACCATCGATCGGATTTCCATGTCCATGACAGTAGTTTCATGGTGAACACGAAAAGGATTGCACGTCGGAGATTCCAACTTCGTCATTGGAGTGTATGTACAACTGTACATTGTACATGCATGTATGACTCATAACCAGGAGTGGTCGTAGGGTAGCCATATGCTCATGAGAAAACAAAATCATCAAATATTCAGATCAATTACATGTATAAATTATAAGTGATGGGAGCAAGAGCATGCGTACAGTCAGTGTAGACCCCAGTCTAAATGACCATGTTTTCTCTTTACTCGAGAATCAGAGTCACAGCAGAGCTAGCTACATGCACACTCATATACTGTCGTGGACATGGAAATCCGGTCGCACGTCTAGCGCCCGAGGGCGCTGGCCATGCAGCCGTCGGTAGCAGTACACGCTGAGGGTGCCGGCCCCGGTCATTCGACTGGATTTCCATGTCCACGAGAGTACAATCATGTAAATCTTACATGGCAGGGTCCGGGACCGAGTACTGGTGTCATGGTGACCACTGGTGGACCAAGGTGGCCGTAACTTCTAGGCCCGGATATGGGAGTTTTGTCAAAACTCCCATATCCGGGCCCAGAAGTTACTTTTGAGCGTATTCACTGCTGTTCGCTCCTAATACAACCCCTCCCTACTTCCCACAACAATTCATTTTTGCTTGTGCAAAATCGTACGTTTACTTACAACTGGTGTCATGGTAACGGGTGATGTCGGCATCATTTATAGAAATACAGTATTGTCGGGCGCCGAAGAACGACCAGGCTAGAATTTCACCAAGCACAGCATACCAATGTATACACGGTGGCTCAACTGTGAATAGAGTGCAATACATGAAAAGTAAGAACGGCTTAGGCTGGGAGGCTGACCCCCCAGTTCTTCTGGCGACCAACAGTAGTGTGGTGACAAAACCCACAGCACTGCACTAAGCCTTGCACTAGCAACTCACACTGCATGCAAACCACCCATTATATAATCCTCCAATCACATTCGAATAACCTCCAACATCGTGCAAAGAAATAATCCAATGCTGAGTGTGCTCCATGAGCAACCAACCGTGGTCGGATCACGGACCCAAGAACAGCAAAGCAATTCGCCGCTCCACTCAAAGTTGGAAGGCAATGCAGAATACGAAAAATCTCCTGGAAATCTCTTATACGAGCAATACGAATAGATCACATCACTGGCAAATCAGTTAACGAAAAAGCAAAGCAAATAAATATAGAGAAGATGAAAATAGATAAGTACAATAACTTCATTCATGATAAAACCATTTAGACCGGCATGCACCCGTTACAAGGCACAAGGCATGTACTACTATAGACCACATCACCAGGCACGGACGGTCTCACATTCATTATTATAAGGTGGTGCGGTGCAAACCTCTAACTAAGGACCACCTGCCACTAAAGACCACTTTCTCTGGCCCCAAGGGGTGGTCGTTAGTCCCAGGTTTTCCTATAACTCTGAGTTTCATGTTATGTATGCTATGGGTTCTGTGTTACATACTCTATGTCCACCGTATTGAGTACTCTCAGTACACTGCCAGTGCACACAGTCACCCTCCGCTAGTTATACAAAGCATATAGATAATCTCTCCTCTGCTTGATGTCCCTTACCCAAGACACCATTCCTATGAAGCACAAAGCAATGGCGCTCTGTCCCGACACAGCAGCATCGTTGACTCATGAGTTCACGGACAACGCGCTCCTGTCGAGGGTTGTCGGCCGCCCATTCCTGCAAGCATCTGAGGGAGAGGGAGAGAGAGAGAGAGAGAGAGAGAGAGACACACACACACACACACACACACACACACACACACACACACACACACACACACACACACACACACACACACACACACACACACGCATTGATTAGGAAAAGGAGTAAAACACCGGTAATACCATTCCAACAGAGTTTGTCTGGAAAGACAAGGAAAAAGATATACAAATGCTATTTTCCTTCATATACACATATTTACAAGTTAAACGAGACCAAAAAATTGAGATTCCCGGGCACTCCCGCACCAAAATCGAGTCAACGCCATTTTTTGAACAGTTCATTACGGGCCATCCGGCAATATCAATAATTTTGACGGAACGAAAAAGTTTAGTTATAACCCTCCCCCACCCACTCTGCCCATTACAGGCACTGAGTACTCCAGCAGGTTAAGTCACACTTCCTCTGTACTTCCAAATCACTAGAGTGAAACACACGAGCACACCTCCTCCCTACTTCAAACACAAACACAAACAGGCAGGCAAACACACACACACACACACACACACACACACACACACACACACACACACACACACACACACACACACACTTACACACACACACTTACACACAACACCTTTTTTTCTTCTTCCTTCTTCCACTGGCATGACTGGCTATGTTGCCATGCAAGGGACACACCAGGAGGCATGTTGTCCACAGGATGGAGAATGTCAGACTCGCCGCTTGTGTGCGCGCACACCCACCCACACACATACCCCCACCCCCTCTCCCCACCCATACATTTCCTGTCCTGTACTGCACATTGCCGTAGGACAGGAACATGTCCGCTCATACGAAGGACAGAGAGAAATGAAGTGAGTTGGTTGAGTACGGTGTGCAGCACGTTTCGCAGGCTAGCGGCCAACAAGAGTTCTGCTGGAACGTTATTTGGCAAAGCTGTGCAGTTGAAAACCCCTCTTTGACTGACATCACCTGCCACACGCACTGCATTGAGCTTGGCAGCAGGGCAGTGAGAGCAGAGTCCTCAGTCCTCGCCGGCACCGATATTGCCCAACCACCCACACACACATATACACAGGAGCACAGACTCACCGCCTCAAGAACTCCGAAGCAAACCAGCGAGGCAAACGCCATGAACGCCGCAACGATAATAGACACCAGGTTGAACGTCTTGATGCGCTCCTCCTTGATCTCTAGCAAGATGAGAAAGTCGGTGAACGCAAACAAAACACCAACGACCAGACCTTGAGCTCCGACCGCTTCAGCGTATCGACATGCTGCATCCACCTGGTTGTAGATGCACACTTGCGTGTTGAAGAAATTGTCCGTCACGCGTCCGTTCACGGCGATGATGCCCAGGAGGACTTTGTCGAAAGCTGCACAAGATATTGCATACAGAACACACAGCGGGTTTAATAACAAAAATCAGTGCAAGTTTAACTCTGGACCGATATCTACAATGAGATCGTCGCTACTCTTTTGTAGCCACCTGTCGTGCCACCTGTCGTGCACATGCGCTGCAAACAAGACAGAGGTTATCAAGGCAGAGTGGCCTTTGTACTACCGTATGTTTCTGAGTATATTTTAAAGCCACACTGGAGTATAAGCGTCACCCAGGTTTTTTTGTCACGACAAACAGATATCTAACTTGTTTATCATTATCTTGACCATCGTAATGTCAGCCGCACCGACCTTTTTTCCCGGTTATTTCCTTTTTTTCTCCGGTTATTTCCTGGTGTTTTATGTGCGGTGTATAAAGTACTCCGGAAAGTACGCCAACTACATGTACATAATACAAATATTATCCCTGTGTATACACACCACGTCCCTACGGACACTACTAGATCCAGATACATGTACGAGTTCCATTTCTATAGTGAAAATCATTTCAGTACAGGCTCGTATAACACGTCTACCGGGCGTGCCGGGTACAAAGTTCATGAAACGGGGTTTTCCCCTTGAAGAGCGCATACAACCGTGTACTGATACTGCGGACTCGGGTGAAACGTACCACGGTTACACAAGTTCATGGAGGATGCGTTGTTTTGATGGTACGGGACAGGTACGGGATAGCGCCAGACGGATGGCACAAACAAACAAACACCAAACGAGTCGTATACATAATACGACTCCCTGCTATACATCTATAGACGTTGTACACAATAGCGAGAGTTCTCTATAATTACACGTTATATTATGCTATCGGCCTACATGCGCTTCCTGGGCTGGTCGACAGGCGGGCCAGCCAGTCTGCTAATGGGATCTCGGCCTTGCACACAAACTCACACAAAACATGTTGTGCGTTTACATGTAAAGCGGGCTGGCCCTGCGAGGCGGGATCACGCCCCAAGGCACACGGGATCGATGATACGGGACGGGACAGGTACGGGATAGCGCTAGGCATGCCGACGGCACAAATAAACATCTTGATGATACGGGACGGGACAGGTACGGGATAGCGCCAGACGGAGGTCCGTCCGCCACAAAAAAAAACAAAAAAAAAACACCAAATTAAACCTGTGTGGACCCTGACTAGCGCCACACGTTACTGAAGTAACGTCTTCTGCATAGCTATGGGAACAAACTCTTTTTCTTTGTGTACCGTACTCTGCCCATACAGGCACTGAGTAGTCCAGCAGGTTAAGTCACACTTCCTCTGTACTTCCAAATCACTAGAGTGAAACACACGAGCACCTCTCCTCACTACTCCAACTCCCAATACAAAACAGGTGCACACATTGTTGTGGAACCCTCGTCCCCCGACGCACGGCTCCTCTCACCCGACAACAACTCTCAGTAGTACAGTTTAAACATGATATTGGAAAAGGAGAGATTAGCAAAATGGACACAAGCAACACAAACTCGAACTAACCAGAAGAAGGAACAACAAAACAAACTCAGCTGCAGTCGTACTTGTGCCAGCAGCCGCCGCAACACACGGGATAGCATGCTACATATGCATGTGCAAACCGGTACACAACACATCCAGGAACTTGGTTACATGCGCAACCGCATAGACCTAGGTAACAAAGACACCATGGCTAGATTACTATGCGAGTACAGAATACTAGTACAGTCGTCCCTCTCTAATCCGGCACTTGTTTATCCAGCACCCTTGCAAACCAGCACACTTTCTGGCAAAACGGATTTTTTCAGTTCATTTTCTACGCTTTAACCCGGCACATGAATTCCGCCTCCGGCAGCGATTTTCTGCAACAAATCACTCAAACTGTACATAATTTGATTTTCTAATCCAGCAGTTGTACATCGCATACCGTACCGGTGCCAATATCCTATACCAGTGCATAGGATATTCCCAAGTGTATGTTATAGACATGGCATGTTACAGACATGCATTCCACAAACTTGTGACAAAGTCCTTGGATTGACACAGAAAATCCCTACATTTTGACGTACGACACAAACATGGACGTTACTAGGTGAGCCGGGTTGGAGGGCAGGATTTGATAATCCAGCACCCTTGTTTATCCGGCAGAAAATGCCGTTGCAAAAAGGTGCCGGATTAGAGAGGGACGACTGTAGTCACAGTGCAGAGTGGCGTCTACAGTCATGCATAGCTATTCATTACAACATACACCCACCCACACGCACGCGCACACACACACACACACACACACACACACGCACACACACACACACACACACACACACCTTCCTTCCTTCCTCCTTCCACTGGCATGACTGGCTATGTGGCCATGCAAGGGACACACCAGGAGGCATGTTGGCCAACGGATGGAGAATGTCAGACCTGCTGCGCGAGCGTGCGCGCACACACACACACACACACACACACACACACATACACACAAACACACACACACACTGTACTATACTGCATCTCCTGCTTGTGCTATTGCGTGTCAAAAAAAACTCCCAGTGAAGCGCAAATTCACTGAGACGGGCTGCCACAACCATGGCCTGGTCTACACCACACGGCGCATAGCTGCTGGAGGCAGTGTCAGAGCTCCAAAAAAGCACAACTGACTCCTACAACTACAACTGACACACACACACACACACCTTTCTTCCTTCTTCCACTGGCATGACTGGGTATGTGGCCATGCAAGGGACACACCAGGAGGCATGTTGGACAACGGATGGCGAATGTCAGACTCGCTACTAGTGTGTGTGCGCACACGCAGACACACACACATGCCCCTCCCCCCCCCCCCCCACACACACATTTCCTGTCCTGTACTGCACATTGCCGCAAGACAGTAACATGTCCCCTCATACGAGGGACCGACAGACATGGATAAGGTTGCTTGAGTATGGTGTGCAGCACGCTCCGCAGGCTAGCTGCCAACAAGAGTTCTGTTATATTTTTGGCAAAGTTGTGGAGTTGAAAACCCCTCTTTGACTGGCAGCACTTGCCACATGTGCTGCATTGAGCCTGGCAGCAGGGCAGTGAGAGCAGAGTCCTCGCCGGCACCGGTATTGCACCCCCCAGCCCACACACACATAAACACAGCAGCACAGACTCACCGCCTCAAGAACTCCAAAGCAAACCAGCGAGGCAAACGTCATGAACGCCGCAACGATGATAGACACCAGAACGTCTTGATGCGATCCTCCTCGATCTCTAGCAAGATGAGAAAGTAGTTATAGGCTGAACGCTAACAAAACACCAAAGACCAGACTTAGAGCTCCGACCGCTTCAGCGTATCGACATGCTGCATCCACCTGGTTATAGATGCACACTTGCGTGTCGAAGAAATTGTCCGTGACGCGTCCGTTCGCGGCGATGATGCCCAGGAAGACTTTATTGAAAGCTGCACAAGACATTGCATACAGAACACACAGCGGGTTTAATAATGGCCAATACAAAAATCGGTGTAAGTTTAACTCTAGACCGATATTTACAATGAGATCGTCGCTACTCTTTTGTAGCCACCTGTCGTGCCACCTGTCGTGCCACCTGTCGTGCACATGCGCTGCAAACAAGACAGAGGTTATCAAGGCAGAGTGGCCTTTGTACTACCGTACTTTTTGGAGGGTATTTAAAGCCACACTAATAAGCGTCACCCAGTATTTTTGTTTACGACAAACAGATATCTACCTTGTTTATCATTATCTTGACCATCGTAATGTTAGCTGCACCGACCTTTTTCCCCGGTTATTTCCTGGTGTGTTTTTTTGTGCGGCTCATTTTCTCCTACAGTACTCCGGAAGGTACGCCAGCCAGAAGACTGTGTATACCCCCCCCCCCTCCCCTGGCCACCAACACTACTAGTTCCAGGTACATGTACAAGTTCAATTTCTATAGTGAAAATCATTTCAGTACAGGCTTGGATAACACGTCTACCGGGCGTACCGGGTACAAAGTTCATGAGACGGGGTTTTACCCTTGAAGAGGGCATACAACCGTGTACTGTCATGACAGACTCGGGTAAAACGTACCACCGTTATAGGATTCGATGTTTGGTCCTGCCACAAATTGGAAACATCTCTTCGAGCACTTTCATTCTTGTATAAATTCCATGTGTGAAGTGGGTATTATCAAACCAGCTACAAGTACAGTGGGACCTGGCTAAGCTGATGACTCAAAGGACCTCACAAATGTGGTCCCCGTGTGCAGGTGGTCTTTGCATCCAGAGTCATTGGACTGGAAAGTATCAATCCTTGGCCCTAATTGTTGTGGCCTTCTCCGGCAGGTGGTCGCCTTGACAGGGTTTTCTGCAACTGTCTCACCTCCATGGAGCCTATACTATAATTTCATACAGTCGTGTGTGTGTGTGTGTGTGTGTGTGTGTGTGTGTGTGTGTGTGTGTGTGTCCTGGGAGGAAGGGGGTGGTATTTGACTCACCCACTCTACACATATCCACACTTTGAAGCATACACATGTACACAGTATCACATGACTACTCTGTAGATTTCATTTGTAGCTTTCCACAATAGACCCTTTGCACAATAACGGTCACGTGATCCGAGACGGGGCATCCTCTTCAATTTTTGTGCAGAGTATCAGTTGTTGAGCATGGTGGAACACTGTATTTTTCCATTTTGGAGATGGAGGAGAGAGTGTCGAGTGGTTTGCCATCGATGGCTGTGGAACCCGTGGACGAACTGTCAAATGAAGAATGGTCTGTGAAGGAACTGAACAGTTTTCTGCTGAATGAGGGTGCGTATCTGTCTGGAAAAAGAAGGAGTTGTTGGAGACAGTGTTGCCACACCATTTTAGCCAAATATCAGTAGGATTCAAAACTAAAATGCATCGTCCGGGGGCTTCGCCCCCGGACCCCCGATCCCGCTACCGCCACTATCTACACACACATGCCACTACATAACAATCAATGTCCTCTGCCACCTCACCACCCATTTGCATTAACACGCTGTGCATAGCTATTAACAAAAGATATTTTATCAGGGATATACCATCATATTTCACTATTCAAGTAGAGTGGAAAGCAACTTATACCAGGCATACCAGAAAATCCACTGGGTTACTGATGTACGCACACAATTGGCAGAATACAAACTGAACCAAAAGACAATATTATAATAATTACATGTAGCACTAAAACAGGGGTGTGTTGCTCCCTACATGGGAGCTCACGCTTTTCCTACCGACTTGCCGAAGTCGCACCAACCTCTTCTTAGCACTAAAACATCTGCAAGAAATAATAATGTGGTGCAAAATGAAGAAAACGAAAATGATAACTCCAGAAAGCGCTAAAATACAAAATGAAGAATAAGGAAATTATAAGCCACATAGCGCTTAATAGAGCACCAAAAATAAAATGAAAATTGAAAGAGTAAAACCAACCCGATAAACCAAGAAATCAAAACAAACTAAACAAACGAATAACAACAATAGAATGATAATTGGCACTCAGATGCAACTACATGAAGAGCAAAATGAGTCAACATGCCTGCAGAATACAAAAGTGACCGTCAGTCAGCTTGCTACCAGGGAACAGCCCCGGGATGAACTCACCCATGGCAGACCACGATGCCTTGTGCCGCAGGACAGCAACCATTGGTCCCTTCTCACGGTGACGGTGGCTGTCGAACACAATAGCAAAGCCATGTGGTGTGAAGACAATGGCGATACACAACGGGTTGTGCACGAGCACTCCAGCAACGATGCGGTCACACTTCATGGCCATGTTGCCAGCTTTCTCCATCACACTTCTACAGGCTGCATTGTTGCGGATACCTAGATCACCATCTTTCATCACGCACACACCGTGGGAGACTGGCATGAGGTCCTTCGCATCATACACAGATAGGAAGGCACTGCTCAATCCAGCTGCGTCGTATGTGCGGTTTCCATCACGGATGCAGCCGATAAAGGTGCTGGTGCATGCAGGCGAGGGTGGTGCACCTGGGGCAGGCAACTCAAGCTGGCCACGTAATGCTCTTGACACAACATACGTAGCAATCACTGCACAAGCACTGCTACCACTTCTGCCATCTATACAACTCTGTGAGCATTCCATCGGCAAATAGTACTCACAGAGCTGCCCAACACGCCAAATCCGCCTGGAGATAGTAACAGCAGGCATATGCATAGATGGCGTAGCATTGGCTGGCACAGACTCCTGAGCAGGTGCGGCATTGACTGGCAGCGACACATTAGCAGGTACAGTGCTGGGTGGATGGGCCTGAGACGCAGAATCACTGCTCGACAATTCCGGCTCGGGCACTGCGTGTGCTGCAGGTATAGCAATGGTCTCTGGGTCCACGGGCTGCTGGTTTCCTACGGCACGGCCTGCAGCGACAGCAACATGGTGAGGCAGGCGCTCACGCATTTTCTCCGTCGGGCTGAACCCCTGGGAGGACTTATTCTGTGTGATGGTCATCAGCGACTGCAAAAGGTCTTCCTGCATTCGATTCCTTGTCTTCGTCTTATCCGCAGTCACTGCTGAGAACTGGCGCTCAATGTCGGCATTTGAATGTGGCAGAGCAAGAACAGCACGAGCCAATGACGACAACGTTGGGAACATTGCATCGCCGTTGATACCGGTTAGCCTCCCAATTGCATGCCAGTAGCGGTCAACTTCCGTGGGAAGGTTCTTGTGCGTGGTACACTGGTAGCACTGCCACTCTCGGACCAACGCATCCAGGCTGCCGGTACTCACAGCATGCGGAAACGCACGCGCCACATCCGCAACACTTTGAGCAGCACAGTCCTTTCCAGCTACAGGACAAAGGAACTCTAGCCCACGCAGCACTGGGCACGTTAGCGGCAGCCTTCTCCTGACCTGCACCACAGCCGTCTGGTAGAAACTGCGAACTCTGGTTGCAAACCGCTTTCGGCGTTCGTCCGGCAATGTGGCGAGCAATGCCATAGCGTCTGCCGAAATAATCATGTCTCGCCTTGACAGCTCCAACTCATCATCATAAATGTCAAGCTGAATCTCCGTATCAACGTTGCCATCTGCGCCACGTACTGCGGAAGCCTTCACGCAATTAAAGAGGAGCATTCTGTGCAGCTGGGCCTGGGACTTTGAAAGTAAGTGAACTTTCACGTCTTCACTTTGGAAACTGAGGTTGAATGTGACAAACAATGGGAGAACCTCTCCCAGAAACAGCAAATACGCTTTCGTTTCTGGTCGCTCCATCAATGACACCCAGTCCATTACGTTTTGCAGTTGGCAGACATCCGGGCACGACTGAAAGTAGTGGAGCAAGGCCTCCCACTGCTCCAGCATCCGCATTACAGATGCATGCAGGCTCAGCCATCTCGTCGGCGCAGGCTTGACTAGCTTGTGCTGCTTGACATCATACTCTTGTTGCACCTTCCTCAGGGCGGCAGTTCTTTTTGGAGACCGGTCAAAGAAGTACGCCACACGCTGAAGCCAGTCCTGGAAATTATCCGGTAGCAGGGCATCGCACGCAGCTTGTGCACACAGCTGTGCAACATGGCATACACAATGGAGGGTGTACGCATGGGGCTGCCTGGCAAGGATCCGGGTCATAACAGAATTGCGTGACCCTCGCATGACATTGGCACCGTCCGAGCAGTACCCAATGACATTGTCCCAGCTCAGTCCACCGTCTTCCAACATGGACGAGATGATACCGAAAATACTCTCTGCATTGGCTTGGTCCACGGGACGCAGGCCTAGGCTGTAGGTTCGGACACAGCCCTCATCGCTGTTGAACACTCTGACCGCAACAGCCACTTGCTCTTGTACAGAAACATCCGCGGACTCGTCGGGCATGATCGAGAAGTACGATCTTCGTAGTATCTGGAGGAGGTTGGAGTGCATATCCTCCGCAATTGTGTGCACCACGGCCGTCATCTTGGTCCTCGCAGCTTTCATCCCTGCAGCGATCTTCGAATCCGGGCACATAGCGGCTATCAGCGGTGTCAAGCGGTCTGCAGTTGCAATTGCCAGATGATTCTCAGCGAGGAAAAAACCCAGCTGCAAAACAGCGTTGCTGCATGCCACTGACATGGCATCTCGCTGCTTCGGGCCAGCTTTCACCTTGCGCAAATCTCCATGCAGTTCCCGACTTCGGACATTGGCCTTGTGGACATCCCGCCCCGCATGCTTCTTCAAGTCAGCGACTCCGCCGTTGTGATAACTAAGGTCGCAGCAGCAGACTATGCAAAAGGCCTTTCCTTCAGTCCGCTTGGATTTTGTCAACCAGCCAGACAACTCCGGTTCGGCCTCCCATTCCTTCATGTAAGCCTGGGACCATTTTACTCTCTTCCTTTTCGCTAGGGGACGTGGCGGGGAGTCTTCCCCGTCAGAGTCAGACTTAGACATCACACTGATAAAGCAAACTATCGGTATTTCTTTCTCAGCACGCTACGCTACACAAGTCAACTACATCACCTCCGACTCAAAACAAAAAGAGGAAGAAGAAGTCTCGCTGCTCCGGCATCTGGTACTTTTCACAAGGACACAACTCCGCCTTTATACGCTGCAGAGCACCAGCGCGCTGCATCATTGGCATGTTTTTTTGGTTGCTGTTTTCACCACAAAAGTCCTACTCCTGCCTTGATCTATTCATCGCCAGTATGGTGCAGTACACCTGCGCCTGGTGGGCTGCATCATACCGACAATGGGCGACATATCCAGTGGCAGTGTACGTGTGTGATGCTCTTTTCACATCGCGGGTGATATCGTATGTCCGAAGACGATTGGCTAGCTGTGTTCCAAGCCCGCAAGTCATACGAGTCGACTCCTGTGACTGAATCGTACTGAACATGACTGTATTACCGGTACTGTGACAGGGCGGGGCACCCATTTCGCCTCGCAGGTCGTACGTCTGGAGCCGTGGAGGGGCGACGTCTCTTGCTCCTCTTGGCTAGCTGCGTTGCAAGCAAGCAAGACAGATCTACGACTGAATCATGTATGGCCAGGGCGGGACACCACTGCGTGACTGAAGGGCTCGAGGTACTGTATTCGACTTTGCGAATGTCAATGGTGTTACCGGCACGGGCTTGTCCGAGCAGAATTATGAATACATGTACCGGTAATGATTGTCTGCATCATGTAGAATAAGATGGTCTAGACTAAAGCACTGACAGGATCTATTGCTAGGACAAGCGGCCTAAATGCGCACTGCCACGTAGTGACTACTAGTATTTCAGTCTATTTAGATCTACAGAATACAGTACCGCATGAACAGTCAGCGAAAGTCTCAGTTTACACTATTGACTACTGTACTTGTATTGAATTATTTGTGCATGCACCGGATCGCGTAGCAGTGCATGCAGTACATCACTCATCAGTCTGATTGTACATGACTCGTTGTATACAGCCTGGTGCATGCATGCAAACACAGCATACAATGTATGTCATGTAGATCTATGACTTGTGCCATGGCGCCAGTGCATGAAAGAAGAAAGACACACTTAGCGCTATCGGAGTATCGGGTATCGACTATCCACGTATCGTGTGACCTACAGTGTGTACAGACACTGCTACAGAGAGTTCTACAAAAAAAAGTAGACTTACTGCATGGCCCACGCTCGATCGGACTGGCCCAGTTAGCATCCGGATGCGATCCAAAGCGCGACGGGTAGATCTACGGATCACTGCACACTGACTGCCGCATGCCGCTGGCTGCACTGGCACTGGCGCTGCATGCACAGGGCCGCGTGCATGCACTGCATGCACTGGGCCGAGTGCATGCGCGATATGCGGGGCACTGCAGTGACTGCACACTACGACTAGTCGACTACGTACGAGTACATCTACGTGTGCATGCATGCACTGCCGCATGCCGGTGCACCGGCACGAGTGCAAGTGCAGTGCGTATGAGTCGAGTACGGTCGTACTGACAAAAGTCAGAGCGTCCGATCGAACTTCAAATTGTTCGAAGGCTGAGTGTCCCGGTCTTGTTCAGTTGGATAAAAGCTACTTTGCTTGATGACTCCAGGTTTTCTCGAGCCAGACGATGATATCGCTTAGCACCTGAGGAGAGAGCTGTCTATGGAAAATACTCGTGATGATCAGAAAAAACAAAAAAATCTGAACCATGTTTTCTAGACCAAGAAGGTCAAAATTGGACTTTTCAGGGCTATTGTCGGCAGGAGAAGGTCAATTGTCGGCAGGTCCTGACAAGCCTCCAAAATCGGCAGTCTACCGACATGTCGGCAGGTGTGGCAACACAGTGGAGAGGTAAGTTTTCCGCATTCAGTGGAGATTTCGGATTACTGAAGATTGAAATTTATTTTTCTTTTCTCTACCTTCTCTCCCCTGTCGATGTAGAGAACACTTCTCTATGCAGAACCCTGATGCTCCTAGAACTAAGAAGGGCACCACTTCCTCGAGTGTACCTTCATCATGCCCAACATTTCATGCGTCCCAGTGGATGAGTGATGAACCGTTCTGTTTCCCAGAGCGAGTTCCACAGCGTACTTGCTTGTCTCCGACGCAGGGGCAAGTCGCCGACGACAGTGAAGAGGGAGCTGATGGAGTAGTACTAGTGAACAAGCCCGTGGATAGTGTCCATGAGTTTTACTTTGGTGGCTATGTGCATAATGTGAAAGCCTGTCATATCGTGCACACAGCCACAGCTCGATTTCAGATGACTTTCTCCGCACACCTGAACGATGAGGCTGCGTCTCTCTCCACTTCCACATCAACAGCTCGAGCAGCGCCAGCAAGCAGTCGATCTTCCAATAGCGAAGACAGGGATGGGTCATGCCTTTTTCTCAAGCTCCAGAGTCTCTTGGCAGGGCGTTCCATATCTTCGCAAAAGCAAGGTCGGATGAAAGTCGTCATGGATAAAGTGTTCCGAGCACAACACTGGGAACGATATCGCAGCACTGCGGCCCTCTTCTCGCCAGATAGCCAGGATTCCAGAGTGTGGAATGCCAGCATCACCAGGGAACGCATGGAAAGACAAGTGGGTTCCTTAGACTAACGTTAGGGATGACGGTTGGTGCAAACAAGAACCCAACAGTGGTCCTTGGAAAGCGTTTCGGAACTTCTTCCTTCAGAACTAAAAAAACTTCAAATGAAAAAAGGCTGCGGAGTACATACATGAACATCGCGTCGGGACCGTGAAAACACAGCCTGTCACAGGAAACTTGATCACGTCCTGCAGCAAACCACGCATGCTGGTTGCATGCCAAGTGTGCAGCGCGTGCACAGCATGCCCCGTCTCGACCCCTCTCGCTTATTGTGCAAAGGGTCTATTCAGTTATCAGTTTAGTGGGACGTTCTTCTAGCACCATACCTGTATACCCTAACCAACAGAGTTCCACTGCCTGGACTTTGTAACCTGACCCATGGCGGTGTGGCAAGGGTGGAAATGAGCACAGAGGAGTAAGTGTGTGTGTGTGTGTGTGTGTGTGTGTGTGTGTGTGTGTGTGTGTGTGTGTGTGTATGTGCGCACGCGTGTGTGTGTTTGCGTGCGTATGCACGCATTTGTTTGTGGCTCTGCACGTGACGGAGAGCCTCTAACAATGTTGACAAATATATCAAGTGTTGTCCATATGTGTCCGATTGAATGAAATAATTGCGGAACCCTCTAAAAAAGCGACTAAAACTCTACTCACCAAAGCTAGGACGCGGGCGATGATGATACTTGATAGCGATTCTTCCTTTGGCTGCCATGATGGCCTCACGACACAATCACGGCTCTCGCTAGCGTACAGTGGGATCGGCTGCAGATTTGCACACTCGCTTCTTGCACACGCACTACATGTGCCCGCAATGAACACTTCTCTCCGCGACCGTATTAGCTAAAATTTGACGTGCCGAGAACTCCGCTACTAGTATTTCAATGGACGTCACGTCGCTCAATTGTGCAAAGACCAAGCGTTCATGAATTCCCATCGTCTACACCGTCACGTGGAGCTGACCGCACTAGGCGATCCTGTGTGTCCGCTAACACCACCTAGCAGTACCGAGCACGGAGTAGTTTTGCAAATTATTTTGTTTCCTTTGCTTCACTCTAGAGCTCTGTCGGACTTTTCGGGTGCATTTCAGGCAACAATACATGAACGTGTAACTGGCTTGCATTTGAAAACCTTCCAGGACAACGTAGGACGTCAGAACGTAGTCTGTTTGTAGAGAGCGCGCGACGGTTTCCCACTTCTAAAATGTTGTACATACCGTAAATGTTTTTTTTTCTGCTCTGACGTCGTGAGTATTTTATTCAAAATTATTATTATGGTGGCACTTGGAAATGCTAGTATGGCGGTAAATACACGCCGGACCGGACAGTGATTATGTCATGTACATGTACAACAGGAAGAAATGAGATACATGGCTGTAAAATACCGTCTGATGTCATAAATGGCTGTAAATACACTTCTACATTACATTCTACGTGTATGTACAATCATAATGTAGCTAGCTAGTATAGTAGGCATGTGCGTACACGTCAAATCTCACACTCACGTCAAAAATATTGTCGTGCGACACCTCCTGGGGCCACACTGCCATGGCATAGGCTAGCGCCTAGGCTCTGTCCAGTACTGGCAGTAGATCCACAGTTTGTAGTTTCGGGCACCAAGATCCAAAGCTCGAAGAACGACGCGCCGAAGTTCACCAGGTAAAATCTGAATCTACAGGCGCATGATTCTCGTCTGGACGTGTTGGCTCAGCTATAATTATAATATTAATAGAGATTTTCTACATGAGAAAAACAAGAACAGTCTAGCTTGGCTACCACTCTAAATTTCTAAACTAAAACTAAACCCCAAATTCTTCTGCATCAGATGCACCCTAGGACAAGTACTTGAAAGTTGAAGTAGGAGTAATGCTAATTGCTAGGATTAGGAATGCACTTGATAGACTCTGTCACTGACTGAGTGTCATTTTGAGGATTTGCAGAGCAGTTGACTGTTGTCTTGACCATCGTGCATGATTAGTGATCAGGTGATGCAGTGATCATGGTGATCAATGGTGATGCAGTATTAGAGTAAAGTTTGCACGTCCGCGTTACCACCGGCAATACACACAACCAGAAGTTTCGCATGTGCCAGGCCACCACCGGTGCACCGGTGCACCATGCCTAGCCTGTGCTACCAGGGTGGCAGATGCAGCGCCTAGGCTAGGGTGAGGTGGTGAGTCTCACAACCAATGGCAATGCCCGACAAGGGGGCTAACCAGTTACCTGGTTTAACCTCGTTAGTTGCTGCATCCATGTAACTGTTACCCTAGGCCTAGCCTAGGCCCTCACTCCGAGTACGGAGTAGTGAGTACCCAGTGGGTGTCGGCGCAGTTCACTGCATGTAGTGAAGTGGTTCACGCGCATGCATCACCGCATTTGCTAGCACAGTACACCATGGTACACGCTCCCTGCTTCCAGCGCGGGTCTCGAACTCGGGACCTTGTGATTCGCAGGCAAGCCCACAACCACTCGGCCAAAGCGCTGGTCTATGTGATGCAGTGATGTAGTAGATCTACGGTTATCAGTGCATGCATGCAGTGTGGGATGGCACAGAGTCCGTGCTCCTAGTCCTAGTCCGTGCTCCTAGTCGGAGTGACTCAGTGAGTAGTCCTACTACTACATGTACTAGTACTGATTCCTAGCGCCATACAGTACATGATTGTGCAGTACATACTAGCAGTAGATCTACTACATGTATACAGTCAGTACGTGTACTAGTACTAGTCATTCTGCAATAGCGTTCTGCATGTCTACTATTCACCGTCATAGCTGACTTCTCGCTTGCCTCGAGTCGATGCTGCACCATCGCCATCTACTCACATGCACAGACTACAAGACTTCTTTTTCATTTTTTTTTTGACAATGCAACACAATTATTGTGGAAAGGTCACAACAATAAGAGACAAGATCAAAAGGAAAGCTTTGCAATAATAATAATAATAATAATAATAATAATAAAACGTACTAAATATTGCGACAGAGCTTTCGGCCATATTTTCAATTCATTGCATTCCCAACTCACCACAACTACGCGCTCTTCAGCCGAACCATACAGACACCAGCAAGGACACTTCCGTTGAGAGATAATGTTGCTCCACGCCTCTAGACAGCTGTTTCGCTCCCTGTCGGAGCTCATCAGTAGAGGATGATAATGATGATAATGGAGGAATGATCATTCTTATACACCAGAAATGGCGCAAGTGCGCGCTTTCCACATATATCAATGGCATATGCAAGCTGCTAAAATGGTAAAGTGTGAGAACAGCGATAAATAATCATAGTACGCGCTCATTGGTGGAGAAACACACCACACAAGCGACGAAAATCTTACTCGGAATACTGATGCCAATGGAAAGTACATGTATGTTGTTTATTATTATGATGTTGCAATGTCTCGCAACATTATCTCTCAACGGAAGTGTCCTTGCTGGTGTCTGTATGGTTCGGCTGAAGAGCACGTAGTTGTGATGAGTTGGGAATGCAATGAATTGAAAATATGGCCGAAAGCTCTGTCGCAATATTTAGTTCTGAAGTTTTAATGCGCCGTTAGTGGCAGAGCAGAGTGGACACGAAGAGTCGGTGAAGAAAGAAGGAGAGATGACAAGACGAGTCGGTGAAGAAGGAAGGAGGAAAGCAAGACACATCTGCAACATCTTTGATCAAACTGAGCTGAGCTGCTGATACGAAGCGTCGACCAAGCATCCCTGACTGGAGTGAATGCCCCAGCTGGCCTCTCGTTTGTCAGTGGTTGCTACTAGACCTGTTAGTATCACACTCACGACTACAAGTTTCCTGGTGTGCATCGACATCGGCATCAGTACGTGGGGCCTCCCGCTGTCGATCCTGTTGACGGGCGGACAGGTCGGTGTGAATCCTGAACGGCAACCGAGCCTGTCGCGTTGGGGGATCTCGGCGGTGAGTCTCGCCTCGCCTGCATACATGGACATTGCAACATCATAATAATAAACAACATACATGTACTTTCCATTGGCATCAGTATTCCGAGTAAGATTTTCGTCGCTTGTGTGGTGTGTTTCTCCACCAATGAGCGCGTACTATGATTATTTATCGCTGTTCTCACACTTTACCATTTTAGCAGCTTGCATATGCCATTGATATATGTGGAAAGCGCGCACTTGCGCCATTTCTGGTGTATAAGAATGATCATTCCTCCATTATCATCATTATCATCCTCTACTGATGAGCTCCGACAGGGAGCGAAACAGCTGTCTAGAGGCGTGGAGCAACATTATCTCTCAACGGAAGTGTCCTTGCTGGTGTCTGTATGGTTCGGCTGAAGAGCGCGTAGTTGTGATGAGTTGGGAATGCAATGAATAATAAAACGTAGCCTGTAAAATGTAAAAAGTCACTGAGTGCAGTTTAATTCAATATCCATGTCCAGTATTTATAATAAAAATAATCTGCTGCAATTTATAGATTCTCACATGCGAGCAACTTGGGCCTCAGCAACAACCAGCTGAGCAGACTCCGGATGCCGAACCGATCGCTCACGGAAAAGACCCCGTGAACCCCGCAAACACATGATGCATGATCGCAACAGGGCAAATGAGAGACGGCATCTGATGTAAGATATTACGTGGGAGTACTTCTCCTTCCTCCTTTCCTCTCTCAATAACGCGATTCGGCGATAGAGTGATGTCGCCGCTCTTCCCATGCCACCACTTGCCGACAGCACAACAGGCATGAACGTCGCATGCTCCACCTCTCTCACTCTCTCTTCATAACATCGTCGCTTTTCTTTTTCATGGCGCCGATAGACAGTGGTGTGTGGTGCAGATCGATTTGAGCGTGCATGAGGATTAAAAACCCGTATATCAAGTAAAGTACGCTCAAAACGACTGCCCCACAAACCACTGACCGCTACATCAAGCCGCGCATGCTCCTCCACAATAGCAGACCTGTATCTCATTCTCTCTCCAGTGAGTGGCTGCAGCAGTGGCTCAATGGAGACATTGTGACAGGTCTCTTGAAGGAGAGAGGCTGTCACATCCCGGATCTCATTATGGCGGATAATGGTAAACCCACCAAGGGGACATGACAAGGCATGGTCAATACCATTGTCCCGTCCACAAGAGCAATGAGTTGGTAACCTCGGCGGCATCCAACCATAGCGGAGGCACAAACCGTCCATGAACTCAGCTTTGCTCAGTGAAAAGCCATACTTTTTCAATGGACGGCAAGTCAGCCAACTCGAGGCGCCAGGTTCACGGGCGAGGACAATGGTGTGTCGCAAGGCGTCCGATGCATCATTGCTGATACGCCGTGCCGACTCCGCCTGGCTATGACGAACTTCCTTCTTCCTCTTCGCCTTCTCCCGCTGGATGCCAATCAGAGAATTCCCAATATCAGAAACACGATCTACGATACGCCGGGAGAGAGACGCTGTGATGGCGACAGACGACTCATACTGGGCGCACAAAGTCATCGGGCTGACCAGGCCCAAGCCACCCAAACGACAGGGCGCATTGCTAGTACTTCCCTCAACACTGTGCCAGGCGGTGGCCGACCTGTCATTGCTGGTATAATCTCCAGCGAGACGTCCGCCTCACACCTATCTGCAATTTTAAGCCCAGCTGCCTTCGTGATCTCGGCACCTATGCCCGCGACAGAAAACAATGGAGTAACATCTGCTCAGCCATTTAGTCTAGTACTGCTCTTCTTAAAATTTGACCTTTATTACAAGACTCTTCATTTCTTTTTCATATCGTTCTCCCACTCTCACGCACACATCCTCACAGTGAATTCTGCCGTCGTGAGTCCCATTCTGGACGGATACGAGACCAATAATGTGCGGTGTGGCCGTGTGGCTTGGAAACACCATGATCGCCAGACAACACAGTCTGGTCAGTCAGTCAGTCAGTCACTGAGTCAGTCAGTAGACCACCACTACTACGACTCTAGATCTACTAGCACTTTATCACTCCCTTAGTATTGACTCCCATTGATTTTCGCTATACCTTAGCAGTCAAAAATTCCTGCATATTTCACTCCTTAGGGCTATATTGACTGCTTATATTTGACTGCTTATGGGTTGCGCAGTTGAACGATGCCTAGTGCAGCATTGTCACTGCATGAGTAGGTAGGTGGTGGTGCAAAGGTTGTGCAATCATAAAACCAGGATTCATGAGGTTAGCGTTCTGGCAGACTGTTTGTCGTGATAAATCTAATATTGACTTCGTACTTGGTCAGTATAGGAAATAAAAAACCTCGTAAAAGACCTCGGCTTCTATTTCCTATAATAATATATTATTATTGACCTCGTACTCAGTCAATATTAGATACGCACTGCACCATGTAATCATTATCTACATGTACGTAGACTCTACGTGTAGATCTACCATGATCAGATGATCTACCACTACTGTACTGTACCTCACTCAGTACCTAGTACTTAGTAGTACTGGTAGTACCTGACTACCAAGCCAACATCATCATCCATGATCCATGCCCTGCAGCCTAGGCTCCCTACGTATACCTGGTATACGCCCTGCATACATTGGCAAAACAACACAGACTACACGCATGCGCAGCCCGAGGTGAATCGATTGTGCATGCTCGAGAGAACGCGGCCAACTCAAGCCGTCAAGGCAACTGAAAATCTCACTCAGTGACCCAGTCGGGGAGCACCACACAGACCTAATTAATTTTATACGTCTGTGTGCTAACACTTCGGTAGGCGGATGGGCTTTGATAGTTTGTTAGAACACTTTGCGGAGAACTGTTGTTGTTCCAGGGGTACTCATTCAACCCGAACCTAACCCTGGCCCACAAACTGTTGAAGTTTGTTCGGCTGGGGGTTCTCCCGGACCCAGTAACAACAGACGTTTCTAGATCTGTCGTTTTGTCAGTCATTCCTTTATCGTGCTCCTGAATGGCTGAAAAGAAAGGATTTCAATGCGAGAACGCAGCCGGTGTGGATTCATCATCACTCGCCGCACAGTGCGAGCATGCGGATGCTGTCGCTTCGGAGGACTGTCGAGCAACTCAAGCGGAGACGGAGGCCTGCACGCCAATGATCGGAATGCATCCTGGATCATCGCCTGCAGAAACACGTCAACTGCCAGTTGCGGTGCGACAGTTTGCGGAGATTCTACGTCGTCGCTACCGCTCTACCAAGGTATGGTTGGGGAAGGGTATGAGCACTAAGGCGAACAAACGACCGCTAGATAAAATCTTTGTCAATGTGGTGGTCATACCGCGTGAAGAACTGGCTTCACTGAATGAACAAACTTTCTTCGGCTCGCAAAGCGATGTGCAGAAGTTGAGCCATGTGTTCTCGCGAGTCGCAGACAAAGTGCAGCACGTGCAACTGGCCAATATGTTTGACTTTGACGGGGAAGAACTTGATGAAGACGAATCAGTTCGTGTATTGGCTGTTGCATGTGCTGGCGCTGGCAAGACGACCATATTCTTGTTGAAAGGTCCTATGGACTGGGCAAGAGGTCTGATCTGGCATGAGTTTGACATTGTGAGTGCATTGGCGCTGCGTGATGCTCGTGTTCGAAATGCCAGAACTGTTGTTGAGCTGTTACAACTAGAGAGATACGGTATTGTCAATGCGGTAGAGCAAGGTGAAATTGCTTCGTTTGTACACGCTAACCCGCAGCGCTTTTGTATCACATTTGATGGCTTAGATGAAACACTGCTCGATACCTGTAGCGATTTTGTGCGCGGAATTATTCGCGGCGAGGAGTTGAAAGGCGTTCGCTTGATTCTAACGTCGCGCCACTCGGCAGAAGTCATGAAACTGTCGGCCACGTGCCAGTTTGATCGCCGTGTAGAGGTGCTTGGATTCACGAGGGACAATGTGCGCGAGTACGTGAACAATGTACTACCGTGCGAGCAGGCAAGCACCATGCTAGAGCAGGTCGATGCAGATCCGAGTTTAGCAGCCATTCTGCAAACACCTTTCTTCACGGAGTCGACGTGCGACGTTTTCCGCAATTGTGGCTCTGTTCCTTCGTCACTGTTCGGCATCTTCACGTCTTTGATCCTGAGTATTGTTCGACAGAACACTGAGATTGCGTATCCAGACTGGTCGTCTATTCCGCGTATCTTGAAGGAGAAGATCCTGGAGTTGGGTCATTTTGCGTTTCTGATGCTAGTTGATAAGAAGGTGGTGTTTATCGACCGTGACCTTGATGAACAGCAGGTGTCGAAGGAAAGTCGCTCACTTGGTCTTCTTGTAGCATGCGAGTCACTGTCGTATCCATGCGTTAGTCAATGGCAATTCAGCCATCTTTCAGTTCAAGAATGCCTTGCTTCTCAGTACATTGCATCCACTGCTCCCAATGCGAGCGACGTTAAATTCCTTGTGAGGCAGGTGGGAGCTTTGACTGGTCACTTGAGCACCTTTTGGTGTCTGCTTGCATCACAATTGGCACCTGACGCCAAAGAAGCCTTGATTTCAGCTATTCTTACTCAGCCTGTTCCACGTGAAGAAGATGTTCGCAAGCTTGCGTCATGTAAAGATGTGACGCATTTCCTTCGCTCATCTGAAAACGATCTTCTGCTGGTGTCAGAAGTTCTGTGCGAACATCTTGACGATTCGGCCGTCCAGAGTCTAGCTGTTTGCCTTCTTGATGATCTACTACCAGACGGTGTGAGTGTTTCTCAGGCTATCGAAGAAGTTCTTCCTCACTCTTTCACTTCGTCGTTACTGGACTACGTCCGCGCTCTTCTGCAGCTGTGGCGTCGCAAAGCACCACGCGCTAGCATCAGAATGCTGTGTGCCGCCTTGAAGTCTATCAATTCCTATGCATCTGACCATGTTCTCGAGTATTTCCAGGCAAAGCAAAGAGCAAGCCTTGATTCCATGCACACATCGGCATCACCTTCCTCCTCAGAACAAGAGCATTCGGTCATGACTGCCCCATTGAAGGGGTCACTCTCAGGAAGCTCTTTGGAGGAAATGCGTACTCCAGTCCGTCGTCAACTAATGCTACTTGCTTGCCGTGTGTTTGGTCAGCGTGGATCGGACATGGACAACACGTCCAACGATAAACCATTACCGCCTTCATCAAGTCTGGCGTTGGCATTCTCTCATGCTGGGCTTGATTTCAATCACGTTCTTCTTTCCTCGGCTGATTGCCATCTTATCTCATCAGTGATTGAAGCGCATCAGAAATCCATCCGCATTGTTTCGATATCCAGATGCCAGATAGATGACAATGGTTTCAAGGAACTTGGTGCAGTGCTTTCCAAATGTTCTGGATTGGAGTTTGTCAACCTTGCAGACAATTCGATATCAGATCGCCACGTGTCACTTATCAGCAAGATGATCGTCGTCAACCAGTCAACTTTGCAGAATCTAATTGTTGGGTGGCTACAGATCTCCTCCTCTGGATATGCACAGTTGGTTCCAGCATTGGTCCGTTGTCACGATATTCGGCGTGTTACATTAGGCAGTCCACATGCCCAGGATATCAAATATAACACTCTTGTAGCCCTTGTCATTCTGGCTTACTGCAAACGGCTTTACAGCGCGAATTTTCGTCTGTTGTTTGGTGATGAGGGTTTTGGTATGATCCTTCCATTACTGATTTCAAGGCCATTTATAGGACTAACTTTCATGAACGCAGGATTGTCGTCACAGAGTGCACCTCTGGTAGAGCGCTTGCTAACTGCACATCAGCTTTGGGTTTCCCACTTTGGGGTCAGCCACAATTGTCTTACGGACACGTTCCTGTGCCGTGTTGCTCCGAGTCTCATGCAGTGTACATCACTGGACGTGTTGTCCTTGGTTGACACAGGTCTTACATCAGAGTCACTTTCTGGTCTCGCTGGTATCCTCGCGTCATGCCCTTGCCTTCGTGTTCTTCTTCTTGTTGACAATGATTTTCAAGTTCAGAACGAGACGGCAAGTACCGAGTTTGCCAGGGCTGTGGGTGCCAGTAAGAAGTTGCTGGTGCTTACAATGCCTCTGAAGAAGTTCGTGAACGATCGTTTGGCAGAACTTCTAGCTAGTTTAGCTGCAGGTAAACCCCAGCTGCTCATTCAGTACGCAGACAGATAACGTTTCATGCCGTCATGCCTCTGCTTAACCGGGCCGTCACGAGTATGTGTGGAGATACCCACTGAGTATTGGCACTGGGTACATTTGTATATTTGTATATACTAAAGCAGATACTCATGTAAACTGATCACTTGACATTGTATGCATACAGTGTACTTACTAGTGTAATGTTTTGTATATCTATTTCTTGAAGTTATGCCAATGATGTCATGCTGATGAGTCAGCATATTTTCTCATGTCCATTGAGTATTGAGTGGTAGACTGGTACTAGTGCATTGCTGTATAGCGGCATGGTCATTCCATGCACAGATTCTTTAGTGACGGTGTATTTACGCAGCCATTTAACAATAGAATTGATTGCGATCGCGTATGCGCAACGCTGTGTTCAATTGTTGCCGTGCAACATAAACGACCTATAATTTACTAAGTCTGATATCGGACACACGATCATTAAGGCGGCTACATTCTTCACTTGATTTGCACGTGCGTTTAAAGTGCATCATTTATTCGCACTTTCCTGGAGCATGTGGTCCACAATCACACATAATTCCATATTTTCAGGCATAAACGTGTTCTTTCTGATTCGTGTCTTACTGATGTGGGAATTCCCCAGTTCATGCATCTTTCTTTCAGCTAGTTTTTCGTTATCTTTTGACTTTTTCTGCCACAGACTCCGCGCATATAGCACTGTGTGTTTCAGTTTTCAGTATACTGGCTGGTGATTGCCCTAGTATTGTCCAGAACCTTGGACGGTGATAACAGAGCCGGTTGCCTAACTAGATCCTAACCGTGTACAGTAGATTGTATAGATTGTGTATGGAGTGTTTTTAACATGTGGTCCCAGCTGCTCGATTAATCTACTTTGCATATTTGGTTTAGATGCTCCGGTGATAATTTTACAGTGCTCTTTCACTGATTTCCTGTGTTTCTGCTGGTGGAGTGCTACTCAATGAAATCCAGTAGCATGAGTTGTCAAACTTGACTCGGTACGCGCCGCAGGGTGGGGGGGGGGTCTGTCCTGCTTCTGACCTGGGTACACTAAGCTTGCACGGGTGTAGGGGCGCTGACCGGACTCGATCGGATTTCATTGAACAGCACTGTGTGTATCGGTGTATTCGCATGCATAAACTCACTACCGGTATTTGTGTGTGTGTGTTTGGGGGGGGGGGGGGGGGGCAGGGAGTACACGCGATGAGTCATTGTCTGATATGAATGATGTCATCATGACAGCATGCTACCGAACAAAGAGACCATTGCACGGGTGTGCGTATGTGTGTGTGTGTGGGGGGGGGGGGGGGGTAGAGATATACCCGCCGAGGAGTGCCTACCGAGACTACCCGTGTGTGTGTGTGTATGTTGGGGGGGGGGGGGGGCAGGGAGTACACACAATGAGTCTTGATGAGATCTTTTTTGTAATGACATCATCCTACCGAGCAAAGAGCCCAGCAGGCCAGGGGTGCGAGCGTGCAAAGGGGGGGGGGGGGCGAGTCAGGGATATACCCGCCAAGGGCTCGGCCAGTAGCCTCTGCCCGACAGGGACGATGTCATCGTTAGTCGGAAAATGTATAACATTGCAGGCTTGCCCATTGGAATAACTGGTGTTTTAGCGTTGGTGGCATGCTACGATCTATTGTATTGTATCGTCGTGGACATGGAAATCCGGTCGATCGACGCGGGGCCGGTGCCCTCAGTGCGTACAGAACGCCGCTTTGGAGTGCACGCGTTGATCGTATGGGTACTCACGGCTGCATGGCCTGCGCCCTGGGCCGCTCGACCATCGATCGGATGTTCATGTCAATGATAGTAGATTCATGGTGAACACGAAAAGGATTGCACGTCGGAGATTCCAACTTCCTCATTGGAGTGTATGTACAACTGTATATTGTACATGCATGTATGACCCATAACCAGGAGTGGTCGTAGGGTAGCCATAGGCTCATGATAAAACAAAGTCGTCAAATATTCAGATCTATTACATGTAAAAAAAGAGAAGAAACACAAGAGAACGAGTTATGCAGCAACTATCCACGACTGAAACAAGGTGATAAGCGGTCAGAAAGTGCGATAATAGCTGAATGTTTCAGTAGCATGTCAGTTTTGTGGTCTATTATCGCACTTTCTGACCGTTTATCATCTTGTTACAGTCGTGGATAGTTGCTGCATAACTCGTTCTCATGTGTTTCTTCTCTTCTTTACATTTTATTACTGGCTCAGTATCCGAGTTTAAATCTATTAGGCCAAACTAAAGAAGGTGTGTGGTTCGACTAACATGGACATTTTTTTTACGGGCGGGCGGGCGGATTTTTTTTTTTTAATATATATTTTTAGTACATGTAAATACACTGTATACGCGTATCGAGTAGACTCTACTACCAGCACAAGGCAGCAGTCGTACCACTCACTGCACTGCACTGCAGTACAACTAGTACAAGTCAAGTCCAAAAGGAGCCGCCTGCGTCCGCAGACTCACGCCGCACAGCACGTAGACGTGGACGTGTTCAGTCCACGTACGTCAGTCACACGATAGCCCGCCGAAAAAAAGTTACGGTCGGGCTGAAATTGTACGGTCGGTCGGGTGAGTCGAACCACACACCTTCTTTAGTTTGGCCTTACATGTATAATTTATAAGTGATGGGAGCAAGAGCATGCGTACAATGAAGACGCCAGTCTAAAAGAATGTTTTCTCTTTACTCGAGAATCAGAGTCACAGCAGAGCTAGCTACATGCACACTCATATACTGTCGTGGACATGGAAAACCGGTCGCACGTCTAGCGGCATCAGGGCGCTGGCCATGCAGCCCTCGGTAGCAGTACACTCGAGCATGCGCTGCTGGTCGCATCGGCCGCAACAAACGGGCACTGCATGTAACGTTCTGTACGCGCTGAGGGTGCCGGCCCCGGTCATTTGACTGGATTTCCATGTTCACTACAGTCAGTTCATGTATATCTTACATGGTAGGGTCCGGGAACGAGCACTGGTGTCATGGTAACCACTGGTGGACCAAAGTGGCCGGGTAGCAAGAAGGACCCATGAGTGTGTGTGATCCCCGGTAGCCTAATCGGTAAGGCACTGTCCCCGAAAGACAGGGGTGCTGGGTTCGAATCCCGCTCGTGGATCCTTCCTTTGCAACACCCGTATCTTCGAGGCCCGGGTATGAGAGTTTTGAGCGTATTCTCCGCTCTCAGCTCCTAATACAACCCCTCACTTCCCATGAAAATGCATTTTTACTTGTGAAAAATCGTGCGTTAACCTACAGTTGGGTCATGGTAACGAGTAATGTCTGCATCCTTTATAGAAAAGTACAAACACAACAGCCGTGGTTGGCTATAAAAACACTGCAATTACCACGGAACATGGCCATTGGCTGCCCAAGCCATGTATTAATTGCTACCAAAAACCTAACTAAACAACACTGAGCTATGGAGGTTACGCGTTAACACCATCAGTTGAGATGCTTGGGTGAGTTGGCAGCACAGCGCTGCATGTAAGTCTCGCACTAGTACCCAACACTGCATACATAAGGCCCTTAATTAAGGGAGCAGCCTACCCATAAATTTCATATTGCATTCAATTGACCATAACTTTGGTGTTTCTCAATGGATTTGAGTGAAATTTTGACCACACACTCCTGGTACTATGCTGGCCCTCAGGACATGATTTACAAGTTCTTGCGCCTCACTGACAGGCTTTCCAGGCCGGAAAACCTCAAATTTCCGGCATAGTGCCACGGTGTGCGAGCCACCCAGGAGTAGGCCTTGGCGGATAATGCCTGCAGAAAAATTGGCAGAATTCGGTACTTTTTCTGGTAAGTTTCATGCATGTTTGGTATGTGGATAAAGAAATGGAGCAGAATTCGAGGAATTGCCCGCCATAAGGTTTGTATGGTTCTGCCAATTTCGGTGCAAAAAAAGCAGAATCTGTCACCTTTTCGAGCATTATCCGCCAAGGCCTACCCAGGAGCCAAACAAATGCATTTACAATTTTTTCACATTTTCGTGCCCATTCTGTCCGTGCACGGGACCCAAACCTAAAACAAGTCCAGAAGCAGCCATGGGTGGTGGGGTAGGGCCCCTCAACATGGCCCTGGAATCTGTCACAACGGAACGAGTGGGCGTTCTCTCACACACTCCCACAGACCCAAGTCAATTTTTGAATTTTTTTAGGTTTAGCACGTGCTACGAGGTCGTACCTTTGATACAACATCCAGTGCTGGGACATCCACAGCAAGCCATTTCCACAGCGCTGCACACCAAATCCAGGATACCCTCAGAAACCGGCAAAGACTACCAATCACGTTCCACTACTGCCTAGTACTGAATCCTACCTGACTTCTTGACACGACTCAAACTTGCCAAAGTCACTAAATCAACGTCAACTACAATAATCAAGCCACATATCTGCAACGTTACGAGGGTGCTGGCAAAAGCCCTGCTGCTTTAACGTGATTTTTTGGACTTTTTTTGGACTTGGAGCAAAGTTCTGCACACTTTCGCGTGTTTCCGTGATACGACAAGTTGCGCACGGTCTGCTCACATTCAAATACAGTGCTGCCAACAAATGACAGCGTGCGACAAAAAAATCTTTCCTTGCAAGGGCACATTTTCGGCCATAACTCTTGAACGGCTGGTCAGATCGGGACACAATTTTCAGAGAATTTGCAGCTATTCATGCTCTTTCAACTGACGTAGCACTCAATATGAATTTACAAATTCGTTTTTCAGCGAATTTTTGGGTAGTCATTTTTGGGTAGTCTGCCACCTTAAAAGAAATCCGCTGACTCACACCGTATGGTTATATGAATTAACGCCCATTAACACATCCTCCCATGAAATCATTCTCACAACCTCTATGGTAGGTACCGGCGGATTATGCTCGCGAAATCAAGGAATTATGCTTTCATGGATTCTCGCATTATGCTCGTAAAATCCTCATTATGCTTTGGCACCCGGGTATATACATGTACATGTACATGTATATACCCGGGTGTACAATGTACTTATGGAGCCTAAAGTTCGGAAAATTGTGCGTTTTTCGTACTTGCAAGTTGCAAGTGGCCATAAGTACAAGTACAAGAAAATACATGTACATGAGTATCCCCATACCAAGGGCAAGGTGTCCATGCATGTAAGAGGTCAACATGGAAAAGAGAAAACAATACTTCTTCTATTCATTACTTGATTTCTTTTGTAATTCAGTAAAAATATTATTTCATTGCTTAATAAGTTTGAGTTACCTTTGAAAATTATCATGTTCAACTGTCCTGGTAATCATCATACTCGTCCATCCGATGTCACCCTGGGCCTCACCCTGCGAATAATCAGCTCATCTCTCCCTAGCTCCACGTCTCCTTCCATCATGACCGAACATCATCTATACATCAATTTAGAGCAATATCCGTAGCCTGCAGTCATATCATGGCTGCTAAAATCCAGACTGGTCATGACTTCGTAACATGCATAATGTACACGGAGTTTTGCGCACTACCCGCCACTACATCATAAATGTACATGTATCTCGTCCGCCCCGGGATACCTGATGAAACCTGATTCCCTCGCATCTTCTGCTACATGTACTGTGTCAGTGTGAGAAAGAACTTTGAAGACTGAGACGAGTTCGAGCATACGATAATGCATTGCCATCATTTCTACCCTGCTTTTCATTGAAAACACTTCCTGCATGACCTCCGAACCCTTTGCCATGCAGACCACCAGCACTGATCAGGTGCATTGTACACAATTGTATAGGCTTTATATTTTTAAATTTAATTTTTTACTAGAGCCACGTAAAACCGTCATGTGTGAGCCATGAATATGGGGAGTGGTGGCGTGGTCTGGGATGCTCTGCCGAACGTGGGTCTCGGCTTCATCACAACCAGGCGCGCCAATAGAAGAGAGAGAGAGAGGGAGAGAGA